CTAATGGCTAATTTGTACGTAGAATTAGCTACGGTCATCTAGTACCTATTACCGTCAATTCGGTGTGATAGGCGACGTGATTGGGTTTTATTTACGAAGAACCAAAGAGTAATTCACACGTTAATTGGCAGATTGAAGTAATATTCGTTTTTATTCAAGTTTACATTAGAGTTAATAATGATTAGGGACTTTTATAGGAGGAGTAGCTTTCACACGCGACTCCCTCCGCGTGGAATTAAAAAAAACAAAAGTAAGTAGCCTACATAGGCTACTTATTTTTGTTAGAACACATGTTCTTCCAGACTGTCCTCTACATCTATACCAAATTTCATCGAAATCCGTTCAGCCGTTTAGGCTACAAACTCTAACAAACATCCATCTATCCATCCATCCATCAACTTTCGCATTTATAATATTAGTATTAGTATGATTTACAAGTATTAAGATTCATGGCTTACAAACGTAACAGAAGCAATAAAGGTTTAAATTGATTTTGTCGCAAATCTTTCTTTTAAAGAGAAACATGAGCTACATATATTTTATTTATACCGAGATCATATCAACGAAAATCGACATTTTCTTTATTAACGTTTTAACTTAAATTGTTGTATTTTTTAATTATTTTTTGATACTCATATAACATATTCAATAACACAATGATCAAATGACAATATTATTGCTAGACAGGTATAAGACATATTTATTTTTATATAGCTGTTGCTCGCGACTTCGTCTACGTGTAATTGTTAAATAATAAAAAACATACCCTATGTTACTTAGTGATTAGCTTTTTAATGGAGAAAGAATTTTAAAAATCGGCGCAGTAGTTTTTGGGTTAATCCAATAGATAACAAATCTCTTTACAATATTAATTTAGTTTAGCTGTTGCTTGCGACTTCGCTCGCGTGAATTTAAAAATCATAACTTATGTTACTCACAGATAAATTACTTTTCTAATAGAGTAAAATGGGGCAAGCTTTTGAGTTATTTCAATGCATACAAAAATACAAATCTTTCCTCTTTATAATATTAGTATGGATAAAAAAATAAATAAAAACGCATAGCAACTGGTTATACCCGAATGTGCAATATATCTTCATTAAATTTAAATAACTTTAAGTCGCTAAATGTCTTCCCAATTACGTATATTTGTTTGCAGAATTTATAATCAGCCATTTAACATATTTCTATTTTATTAATACACAACGATATTTAAACGAAATAATTGCTATTCTATAAAGACGTATTAAAATTAACCGTTTAAATATTATTGCTGTCTTCTAAAAAATTATAGCTAAGCAAGCTTGACACAGTATTGACTTTTCTAGAATACTCTATCGTTCATCATTCCCTCTGCATCTTCTACCGAATATACCACGGGGAGTGCTCTGAAGAATTGTTTGGAACAATTCGTGCCGCCGCGTTCCGTCATCGGACGACTGGACAGACCGCCAGGTACCATCCACACCATCTTGATGGCTGGCAATCCTCAACTGTGCGGTTTTCGCGGAACTTTTTGCCTCGCACAGCCGCGTTGTGGAATGGTCTATCCTCGGTGGTATTTCCAAAACGCTACGACTTAGGGTCCTTCAAGACGCGAGCTTATCACCTCCTTAAAGGCCGTCACCGCATCTGCAGTTCCTCTGGTATTGCGGAACATCTCGGTGTTTCCGCTGTTGGTTTGTCCCTTCTCTTCTAAAAAAAATATCTGAATTTACCCTCTTCTTCCATTTGTACCTTTTTAGGTCTTACTTTACCCCTTGTATATTATTACTATTGCTGTAAAATTAAAATTATAAATACGTAAATTTTATTGGATGTATAGATATTTGTGAAAAGGTATGTCCGGAAAGTCTTAACGGATCTCCATTAAATTTGGCGCAATTTTAGAACATAGGCTTATTACTTTTGTTCGATTTGAATTTGGCGCGGACGGAGTAATTGACAAAAGCTAGTTACTTATAAATTACTAGCTGTTCCCGTGCGGCTTCATCCGCATGAAATTATGTATTTCATTGTTTACCTTTGTCAAATTATCAATAGCAAATGTCAAAATGACATGATATTACAAACCTTGGCAATCTTGCTTCCTTGATGTTGGCAGCAAATTATGGTCTCTTTCCCACATTAGGATTTTTATCCAAAATATTTACCCCCTAAGTTTAATGGAGTAAAAATATATAGCCTAAAGCGTGACGTAAGTGTAGAGCTTTTTATTAAAAAAAAGAATTATTCAAAAATATGCTGTGATTGCTGACATCTTCGCAACAAAGAAGTGTGTGTTTAAGCTTTATTATAAAATTATAATAGTATAGACAATGTTCTAATAGCTAAGAAAATAAAGGCTATTACTTAGCCTGAGATTTACTCGACCATTGTTAATAAATAATATAAGACGTTAGGCGATATCCTTTTAATAGCGATTTTATTTTAATAGCAACCTCCAGACAAAGTCACCTCCACACATTTATAATTATCTCACGTAGATTACATACTAGGAGCTCGAACTTAATTTCCTATTCGTAGATAATTATAGGTATATGTGCTACAACGTTTAATATTAGATTAGCTACCAACCGTTGTTTGTTCCTTAATGACGTCATCCTTAGTCTCGTCAAATAGCAATCAACAAATTCAGTCAATGTCTGTCTTTACTTTCATTACAAATCATTTAACATCTCGAGTGTTTCATTTCTTAAGCGTATTATCATAGGCTTATAATGATCTAATTATCATCAAATGTGTCTTCG